AGAGAGAGAGAGAGAGAGAGAGAGAGATGACAACTAACCAAAACTCGATCGCAATCGATGATTGTGTTGAGTCTGTGAGCGATCGTAAGTACAGTGCAATCGGCGAACCGACGCCTAATCGTAGTCTGAATGAGTGCGTCGGTCTGTATGTCCACATTGGCTGTCGCCTCGTCCAACACCAGTACCCTATTGTCTCTGAGTATAGCCCGCGCCAAACACACCAACTGGCGCTGACCAACACTCAAATTGCCGCCGCCTTCGCTGAGAGCGCCGTCCAATTGGCCGGGCAGCTCACGAACCGTATGGCCCAACTGGACCTCGTTCAACGCGGCCCATATATCCGGGTCGGCAAACTCGCCAAACGGGTCGAGATTATGCCTGACAGTGCCGGTGAACACTACCGGCTCCTGCGGTATGATCGATATGCGGCGCCTGAGCTCACGGAGGCCAACACTCTTGGTGTCGACCCCATCGACGAGTACCTGTCCCTGGGGTTCGGCCAATCGGAAGAGGGCCGCTATGATGGACGACTTGCCGGCGCCCGTGCGGCCAACAATGCCCACCTTTTCACCGGCGCCGATAGCGCAGCACAGGTTTCGCAGCACCGGTTTATCCGAGCCCTCGTAGTATAGGGACATGTTTTGCATGACTATTTGTCCGGCCTGTGGCCACTCGGACGGCGGCCAACAGCCACCGGTGCCAATAGGGCTGGCCATAGGGGCAGTTTCGACCGCCTCTTGCGGTAGTTTTGAGTACTCGACAATCCGCTCGACTGAAGTCATTTGGCTCTCAAACTCAGTTGACTGTCGGACTCCCCATTGAGTGGTGTTGACCAGCATTAACACTATGGTAAATATGGGTTTGTTAGTGCAAATAATGTTTTTTGTAGTAATTACTATTTACAATTAAACTACTTATATATAAAAACAACAAAAGTGAAATAAAATGTAGCATAATGTTTTTTAAAGTAACTATAATACTGTACTTTTGATTATGAAAAACTGATTTAAATAAACCAAGTTTATAATAGAAATCTGTCTTTATAAAGCACTATTATTTAACACATATTTTACTGTTACAGTTTATAATAAAATGCATATTAATTTATAAAATTATATTAAATATATTTCTATGTTATTATAATATATACAGTATATCTAAATTATATTATAATATTAGACTCAAATGCTATGAAAATAAAAATGTTTACCTGATGAAAATGCCAGACCCACCTGACCACCAGTGATGGCATTAGGGAATGCCATTATCACCACTGATATGGACACGATATACGCGATGCACAGCCAATCAGTGATTAGGCCTAAAGCGCGTGATGAGCACACGAATAGGAACCAGGTGGCTGAGTGATCATCTTGGTACACGTAAAATTGACGCTCAAACACTTCCTGCGCCCCGTAGGCGCGCACACTGGCCAACCCGTTTAGTGTTGTGCTTACGTGCGAGTACACTGGGCTCCGAGCTAGGTCAAATAGGTGGGTTTGTTTTTAATTACAACATAGTCTATTGCTACTATGTTATAGATTTAATATTTAATGTATACTTACTTAGTCCCTCATATCGTTTAATGTCCCTGGCCGTTTTAATGTATATATTGCGTACAATAAAGGTAAATATGATTAGCCCTATTGCAGGTATAGTTAAGTATGGATTGACCATGGCCACAACCACCATTACGCCCAGTAATTGCAGAAAATTCTAAGAGAATTAGCATTTAATATGAGAGTGAGTAAGTTATGGAGAGAGAGAGAGAGAGAGAGAGAGAGAGAGGATTGAGAAAATAAAATATTACCATGTTTAGATCAAACCCAGTAGCTGGTAACTGCTCGTCAACAATACCCATATCTTTCGTAAATCGGTTTAATATTCGACCTGGATTAAAATAAAATAAAAACAAAAATTAGCCAGAATAATTATGATTAAGTATTTTAGGTTGGGTAAAACTAACCAACAGGGTTTGCGTCAAACACGGCAATCGGTGCCCGTAATAGTCGAACAAAAATTTTATTATGTAGATTAATAGAGGCTCGCATACACATCGCAAACCACGTGGTCGTGCGTATGAGTGTTGTAACAAATAGGGCACCGATAAGGCCGGCGTATATGTACACATCCCGGTGCTGCTCGTCGTCGCTTAGATCTGTCGCACTTTTCTGTTTATCAGTCCTATGGGTGGTTAAATATACATTGTTTAATGTCCTAGGTACAATTATTTAATAATAAATTGTGGTCACCATTGAGTTAGAAAAATGTCGGAGCCGTGAAATATGGCCTGAGATAAGAGGGCCGATATCACCATCAATATGAACAGTACGGGTCCGGCGCCGGCTTTGACGTACTCCCAGTAAACACTGCCACCGATTGCGCCCACCTCTCGCTGTTCCTCCTGGATATGGGGGTCGCCATCGCTGTTCTCGTCGGCATCTATCGTCTCAGGCTATCATTTCAATGCAATTAAGTAACAATTTAATTTAATTGACATTATTAAAATTACTAAATAAAACTTATATTATTTATTTATTGTAAATTATCGTTAGACTATATATTAATGATTACAAACTATGGTCACCACCAAAACTATTCATCTACTAATTATACCGAGTTTTACTAAATCGTGGTCAGACTGTATACAGTAGGTATAAACTTTAGGTATAAACTCTATAAACAAAGCAATTTTCTACATACGTTAATGTCGTCAAACCGTTCGGAGAGCGCCATCGACGCCGTACGGGACGAGTTCCGGGACCGTAACGAGTGGTCGCCTTTACCGCCGCTATGACTGCTGGTCATGGATACCGTCCGCTGGAGTTGTTGCCGCTGCTCTTCGGCCGCCTGTCTCTCCTGTTCGCTGAGCAGTGCCATAACGTCGAGCCCCTGGGCCTGCAACTGCTCGAACGTGCCGTAACCGGCGCACCGGCCCTCGTCCAGCACCAGTATGTGACTCGCCTTACGTACGAACTGGATCTGGTGTGTGACCAAAATACGGATTTTGGCCGATAGGTAGTCGACGATACATCTGCATTGAGTAGTAGAATTAATTTTTAATTAATTAATTATTTATGTTCCCTAGATACTTTTTAAAATCCCATTGTTGCATTTATATCAGGGTTATATTATACCCGACAGTATGTTTACCTACCTATCAAATATATGCTCGGCCACTGAGGCGTCCACAGCGCTTAACGGATCGTCCATTAATACAATGTCGGTGTTTCGATACAGAGCTCTGCATATCATGTAATATTACATTTAAATAAATATGAAAACTTTTTATGATGCTAAAATTACTAATTAAACAAACCCAAACAAACCTAGCTAAATTAATCCTGGCCTTCTGCCCACCAGACAGTGACAGCCCCTTTTCACCAACCAGTGTCTTATCACCATAAGGCATTATTTGTAGGTCCCTCTCCAGTGCGCACACCTCTACCACTTGTTTGTACCTGTCCTCGTCATATTCCCGGCCAAATAATATGTTATTTCGGACACTATCGTTAAAATTCCAGGGCTCCTGAGCCGCGTAGGCAACTGTGCCCGATATGAGCATATCGCCGCTAAGCACCGGTAGCTCATTAAGCAGTGCCATTAGAAACGAGCTCTAGTTATTTTGTTGTTTTTGTTACTTTTAATACAACACAACTAGTCTTTCAAAAAAAAGTACATACCTTTCCCGACCCGACTGGCCCTATGACTGCCAACAAATCACCAGATTTTAGTGATACCGATATATCCCGAAGAGTATTGTGTGGTGTGTCCTTATTATCAATAAAGTATATTGTAATTAAATTGTGATTATTAATTAAATGATAATTTTCATACATGATCCCATTTGGCGTTGATCTTATTCACCACGAGTTTTGTGTCCAACTCATTATAGGGATTATTAATAATATCTAATTTGAGCTCGTTGGATAATTTATTATCATTATTTTTATCAGCTGGATAAGTTTTATTATTAATCATTTGTTTTGGTTTTAAATTAATCTCTTCCAACTCTAGGAATGTCTGCGAAATAGTGTAAAATATATTTTGAAATTTATAATTAAATTAATGTTCATGTTTAAACTATTCTGATTTAGCAAATTAAGTGTGATTACTAGTCATTTACATCTGACCGTAATTAACAATTAATTTTGACCTAGGTCTTAAACATTGCAATAATTAATATACCTGAATCCGACGGCACGAGACCATAATCTCAGCGCCGAGCGCTATACCTTTGGGCACTTGATAGGTCACACTGTGCCGGAGTGTGTTGAAAAATGTCAACGTCACAAATACGGCCTTTGCGGTCAGTGTATTGCCAGTTAACACCACGATGATAAAACAGACAAACAGTATAATACGTGTGGCCACAAAATATATGGCTAGATTGGCGGCCCATAACAGGGCTGACAGTCGTATACGCGATACCTCTTTTCTGGTGGTAAAATATTTTATAAAAATAATTTATGTAGGTGCTTTTGCTAACCAGTATAAATAGTGTTAATTACACTAAACCCTGATTTTATAAACACATTTTGTATTATTTTAGTTAAATCCAAAGCTAAGAATCCTAGATGTTTTGGGAGTTTTTAGCTTGGTGTTCATAAAATTGAGGATTTAATGTACAAAAATTAATTACTTTCGAGCTTTGGATACCAGATCGGCGAACGAGTTCTCCCAGGCGTACATTTTGATGACCCGCATTCCCGAAATGATCTCGCTCATGTGCCGCAGCCGGGTGTCCGTTAATCCGGCTGTCATACCCCTAATACCACATAATAATGATTACATAAAATTATTTTTTGGCCATTAATTCACAGTAGTTTATGATACACATAATGTTTGCACTATATGTTTGCCCCTTTGAGAACTCATGGCATTATTTAATGAACGCTCACCTGGCCATTGAAAACAGTTTGCCCATGAAACCCTGGAACGCGATAAACAATATCATAATACCCATGCCGACAAAACAGACCCAGTTCAATTCACCGTATATTATATACAGAGCCAAACCCACTTGTATTGGAGTAGTAAACATATAGCTCAAGTATAATGTAAACTATAACATTGCCAATAAAAAACAATAAGCATTAATTAATTATCTTATAAAATGATACCATATATAAATCTCACTCGTCAGTTTATAAATAATCTAAACTTTAGTAATGTATACTACATTAAATAAAGTTATGAACTAGTTTTTAAAGTGATTTACCTCATCAAATCGCTGGACATCATTAGACATAAGATTAATAATTTGCCCGACAGTAGTCTTACCCATGGAAGTCCGGCTGAGTCTGAGTGCCTAGAATTTGTAAAAACAAAATAATTTGTTTGGACCAGGCACATATAAGAATTTGAAACCGGTACCTTTTTATACATGAGAGTACAGCAGGCACTGCGCATTCGCATACCCAACTCCATGACCAGCACCAGGTGCGGGTGAAACAGGGCTATGAATAGGGCTGAGCACAGGCACACACCCCCAGCCGACCAACAGGCCATCGAGAATGATATGCCGTTCTCGCTGTTAAAGTAGTCTATAATAAAGCCCAAAAGCACCGGTTGTGCTATACGTAGTACACACTCCTATTGGTAAGGGGTTTGAGTAAAATTATAAACATATTTTTTTAGAAACCCTTATATTACAAATCGTATACAGTATTATTAAAATAATAAATTAAATTAAAACTCGCTTCAATTGTGACAATCATGAATGGCACCATGTAGTAACCGCCATAAGTCCATATAAGCGCCAGCCATAATCTTGGTTGCGCTTTACCTCGTTGAATTTTCCACATTCTGTATTGTTTTATTGTGTTTATTTGGTTAATTTTATTTTAATTTTTTTAAATAACTAGTTTAATTATATGATGCTCACTTTTCAAGCTTTCTAACAATGTGTTGCGATTTGTCGTGCGTCGGACACTCGTACATGTCATCAAGGTCCAGACGATTTTTGCGCATTCCGGACCAGAATATGGGAAACACCCAGCTGGTTTATTTTAAAAAATAAAGTATTAGCTTAACACAATTTAAAAGTTAACATTTAATATTATTCAACCTGATACACATTTTCTCGATGAAATTCATGCGGTCCCATGGTGCTTTACCTGTAATTCTAGCTTGATCTTCCATAATTTATTATTTAAAATTAAATTCTTTTTAACTAATGTTTTAGTTTATAGTAATAGATATGTTTTGCAGTGGATATTGTTATACATATGTGGCAAACAATAGTAAAATTATTAAAACACATTTTACAAAGAAAGTATTTTAAAATATAATTATTTTATATGCTTTTGCTTATATAAAGAATATTTATGATACCGTAAAAATTTTTACTGTATGTATAACCTGTGACAATAATAAAACAATGAAATTTTAATTAGTGCGCTTTTAGTGCTGTTAGAGTAACCTGGTGTGTCTGGTGCAGCAATAATAATTTATAGTGTGCACAAATAAAAATTAAATATGTTTAATTTGCCCATCTTGCACAATTATCTATTCCTTTGCATCATGTTGTAGTCCAATAGAGTACAAATGTACCTTTATAATTTTGTCCTAATAATCTATCAAAGTAATTATGATCCAAAATGTACATCTTTATAAGATTTAGTGATGTAACATTTGCAATAAAATGGTTAACAGTTTATCTACATTGTTTTATCACATACAAACATATCTTATATAACCTAATAAGATACTTCAGATCTAATGATAGCTAAATTGTAGATAACATTTACGTTACATGATAAATACTGTATATCATAATAAGATCCATACTATGATAAGCCGTACTTTATATAATAATAGTATAATACAATAGTAACTTTAATTTTTAATGTATTTTAAGTACTTGGTATTCTTGTTTTAAACTTATACATGTTGTATGATGTTTGGTTTATAAAGTAAAAATCCATACATATTGTATGTGGAGATTTATCATTGTAATTTTTTAATTGATGTAATAGGCAAGTTAAATTAGTAATAGTCCTTCCCTATTCATATTCACAACACACCTTGGACAATAATACAGTATTACTTAAAATCTACAGTATATTTCAAGTAAGTGCAACATTTGTGAGCAAATTGGGCAATAATTTTAGTCTAATTATAATCTATACAGTACTGTATATAAATTGTTAATATACTCTGCGTAGGTACATCAATATAGTAATAAATATTGATAAATTACTATGATTATAATTTAGCAATTCATTAAATAATTCTTAGAATCTGCTGGTGTAAAATATAATAGGTTGGAAATTTTTATTTAACTCTACATATTAATAATACAAAATAAAATTGTTATTGGTTAATTAAACCAAGTTTAGCAATTTTGCAATTTAAAAAAATTAGATGTTAATTTAAAACTGTTAGAAAGCTGTAAACACTAAAACCTCCTTAATTAATTAATTAACTAGTTTAATACAGTGGCAACAAAAAAGTTTTTAAGTTTGAAAAACAAAGTTATAAAATTACTGTATATGATTTAGTTTAAAGTTATAGTTTGTATTGTCTGCAATGAATAGTCATACAGTATTGATCAGATTAATCACCATGGTTAGTAGTCAAGCCAATTAACAACAGTGTTATTATACAGTTTAGGATCATATTTGGGATCCATTGGTAAGAGACTCAGAGGCGGAACAGAAGTGGCGTTAAATGTAACCATTTTCTGATACAGGAATCGCACAAATCGACGGTCTGTTTGGCCGATGAGGTCGTACTGTTCGCACGGGTCGTGCCTTACGTTAAACAGACAGTAATCGGACATACATTCGGGCCGGAGGTGTGAGTCGGGCACCGGTCGGCACTCAACTTCAGATCCGGTCAACACATTATAGTCCGGTCGGCGATTCATTTGCCTTAAAATGCGATACGTTTTGCTATTCAAGCGATCGTTGTTTTGAATGTTTGTCCGCAAATGGGGGCCAATATCTATGGGAGAGGGCATGTAATCGGCAAACGAGGGTCCGATGTGTTTACGCGTTTGGATTAGTTTCCAGTCATACCATCGTATGGCCGATGAATTGGATATGGGGTCCACATTGTGCTGTATTTCCCACCGAACCGGCCGTTCATTATTTGACAGCACTTTCCATTGGGAAACACCTGATAGTGGGTATCATTTAGGGTATAATTTTATGGTATGATACTAAATATATGTGCAAATTAATAACCTGTATTAGTTTTATGCAATGTATACAGGTGCATTGTTCATAATAACTTATACAATTAAAACTAAAGCTTTACTAAAACTAAAACTAAACTACTTTAAAACTTTATATAATCTTATTAGACTAATATTAATTCTAGTTCTATTAATATATAGAACAACAGTTCTCATAAGTATAACATGTTCTTAATAATAGTATTAGTAAAATAAGTCTAATTATTAAAAAAATCAAAAGTTAATAAATTTTGATCACAATAAAATTTATTGCTTTTAATGCTTTTCATAATTCATTTAATGCTGCAAGGTTTTCTAATGAGTTGTTGTTAATATAATTATAAAGTTTACAATGTACCATAAATATAATCTTGATCATCAATTCCTGTGCCAACGATGGCATCCAAAACAGTGGGCAACAGATCTGAGATGTGAATCAAAGCCTGCGATACGTAACCGCTTTTGTTAAGCAGTGGACTCCACACAAGTGCCGGCACTCGTATGCCTTAAATATAAACAATAATTTATTATTAATCTACTAGTGTATAGTGTAATTAATTTTACTGTGTAACATTTACAAAAATTGTTTATTAAATGAAGGAATATAATAATTAAACAATCCTCGTATTTTAAAAAAAAAGGAGGAACCTGTAACTTTATAAGCTTGATAATATGGTCATAATTATATTGTATAAAATAATATGGCTTTCGTTAAATGCAACATCAATATTTACAAACCTCCTTCGTAAAGCAAGAACTTTCCGCCCCTTAGGGGTAGATTCTGTGCGTCATTTGCTTTGGGATTCTTCGAAGGACCTGGTGCTAAATGACCTAATAATAATTAAAAATGATTAAACAAACATGATAATAATCTAACATGATTACATTATAGGATTTACCATTCTCGGAAGGATGACCGCCGTTATCGCTAATGAATATAACAATACTGTTGTCGAGCATACGTTTGCTATGAAGTGCTTCCATAACAGTGCCGATAGACTCGTCCATACTATAGGCAATTGCGGCCAACTCTCGCCGCTCGGGTGACCGGATGTGTGGGAATAGATCCAAGCGATCCCTTATGGGTACTACCGCTGCCTGAACCGCCTGATAAGGCACGTATAAAAATAGGGGTTGGGATGTGTTGTGTTGGTCTGTAATAAGTAATAAATTACACGATATTATCATTTTTAATGGCAAACAAACCGATGATATTAAGGCATCGATCGGTGAAATAATGCGTTGAATAGATATCCGACGCGTTTGTAATGATATCCATATTATGGCGAAAATCCAGACCGCAATTGTCGCCCGTAAAGCAGTTGCGGTGATTATAATAGCCGACACCCATTGTCCAGAAGCCCACGTGCGAGTCAAAGCCCCGGTATGTGGGTGTGTACTCTTTGCGCGCAAAGCCCTGATGCCATTTACCTGGTGTTAATTAAGTTATGTTAATTAATTGTAAAATTTTTTATTAGTGACAACTTTAGTTCAATGTAGTTTATTATCTATTTATTATCTAGATACGTAGATGTACTACATTATTATATAATTATGAGATTAATAAATGTTATTGTATAATTGTGAATCAAAATTTTTAATATTACAAAGTTTAGTTTATTTATTACCGACAATATGTGTGGAGTAATTGTACAGTTGTTTCAGATATTGGGGCCATATTTTGCGATCCAGTGGCAAACCATACGGGGATTTGTTGTAAATGATAGAGTTTTGAAAGCCAAGGTGTATGGGATGTACAGCCGTCAGGAGCGCACCCCTACTCGGGCTGCAAACGGGTTGGGCGTAGAAGTGGTTGAGAAGGACTCCATCGGCGGCCAGACTATCGATATTAGGTGTGAGGATGTGGTCGGAGTGATAGCCCACGTCTGCCCAACCCATGTCGTCCGCCACAAACAATATCACATTCGGGGCCTGTTTTGCACCCGTTA